CACACACACACACACACACACACACACACACACACACACACACACACACACACTCTGATTGGCTCCTTGTTGTCCTCGTTAACAAAGCGCCGTCTGTGAACAGGAAGTGGTGTCTCACTGTAAGAAACTAACGAAGAAGAACAAGGAGCAGCTGTCAGACATGATGGATGTGGAGAGGAGTAAAGGCCTGAAGGCTCTGAGCCGAGACAGGAGGGAGAGACTGGAGGCCTACCAGCACCTCTTCTACCTGCTGCAGGTAAAAGGCACACCTGCCCGCCGCTCGCTCACCTCAAGCTGACCTGAGCAGGTCCATGGCATCACATTACTGTACCTGCCTGATTCGTGCAGTCATCTCTGCTTCACCAACAAGGCAGGGGCTCCACCTGGTGGTGATATTGTGCAACTGCAAGTGGAACAGACGATACATTATATCTGCAGCTGGCCAGTTATAGTGTGTGTGTGTGTGTGTGTGTGTGTGTGTGTGTGTGTGTGTGTGTGTGTGTGTGTGTGTGGCAGACACAGCCCCTGTACCTGGCTCAGCTGATCTTCCTGATGCCTCAGAGTCGCTCCACCTCCTTCATGGAGATGGTGGTGTTCAGTCTGTTTAACTATGGCTCCGACCGCCGCGAGGCCTTTCTGCTGCTGCAGCTCTTCACAGAAGCGCTCCGCTATGAGATCAGGTAACGATGATGTCACTGCACCTGTGTCTGAGCAGTAACGTGTTGTCACTGCTTACCTGTGTGTGTGATGTCAGGCTGAAGGTGGAGCAGCCCCAGGACGTGATCACAGGAAACCCCACCGTCATCAGGATGTTGGTAAACTTCTACCGCCATGCTCGTGGTCAAAACGCCCTGCGCGAGGTGCTGGGTCCAGCTCTACAGGACGTCCTGCAGGACCGCACGCTCAGCATCAGGACCGACCCCGTGGACGTCTACAAGACCTGGATCAACCAGACCGAGACGCAGACCGGACACAAGAGGTCAGAGCGCGTCTCTCCTGCGTTGCGCGTCTCTCCTGCGTTGCGCGTCTCACTTCTATTGTGCGTCTCACCAGCTCGCTGCCCTATGAGGTTTCTCCCGAAGACGCTCTGGCTCAGCCTGAAGTCCAGAGACGCATCGACATCTCCATCATCAACCTGAAGAACCTGACGGACAGAGTCCTCAAAGCCATCACCACCAGCCTCCACAAGCTGCCGTACGTGTCTGCCTGCTGCTGCACCTCGCGTCACCAGTCTCTTCTTTGCTAAACGGTTCTGTGTTGTTGCAGGTATGGTCTGCGTTACACCGCCAAGGTCCTCAGAGACGCCCTGAAGGCAAAGTTTCCTGAAGCCGGTGAGGACGAGCTCTACAAGGTGAGAACACAGATCAACACACCTGAATCACACGATTAGTTCATTACCAGGCCTCTGGAGAATTCAAGACATGTAGAGGAGGTCATTTAGTCATTTAAAGCAGCTGTGTTGGATCAAGGATGCATCTAAAGCCTGCAGGACTCCAGGCCTGGAGTTGGACACCTGTGCTGCAGGTGATGAAGGTGGGCTGTGTTTCACGTGAATTTCTGCTCCTGCTGTGCTCAGGTGAGCTCAGACTCATGATGGATGTGTGATCAGCAGATTTGGAGGTCTACAGAAATCACAGCTCGCAGGTCGGAGCTGAGATTTGATTGGTCGCTTGACGTGAAGCTTAGTCTCTGTACGGCGGCGGGTCTTGAAGTCAGAACCACGTGGCTCTGGCGCCGTGACCTGAATTGAACCGCTAACGCCGAGTCTGCCCTACTCCCCGCAGATCGTCGGTAACCTGGTCTACTACCGCTACATGAACCCGGCCATCGTGGCCCCGGACGGCTTCGACGTGGTGGACCGTTCGGCCGGCTCTGCTCTGCAGCCCGAACAGCGCCACATCTTGGGCTCCATTGCCCGCGTGTTGCAGCATGCCGCTGCCAACAAACACTTCCATGGAGGTGGCTACCACATCAGAGCCCTGAACCAGTACATCAGCCAGACCCACAGCAGGTTCAGGTGGGTTTCAGGTGACCTCGCTCCGTTCTGAGGTGTCGGGGAGGTGGAGGTTCTCCTGACGGTGTTGTGTGTCTCAGGAGGTTCCTGCAGTCCGTCTGCGACGTTCCTGAACCGGAGGACAGATTCAGCATGGATGAGTACTCGGAGCTGCTGATCGTGAACAGACCCGTGATCTACATCTCTGTGAGCGAGCTGCTCAACACACACAAGGTCAGGAAGCTCCGCCTCCAGCTGTATCGTCATCTTTTCGCTGCATGCGCACCTGTACCTGGTCTACATAAACCCGTGAACCTCTCACATGTCTCTCTGCAGCTGCTGCTGGAGCATCAGGAGGTTTTGTGCCCGGACCCCTCAGACCCCCTCGGCCTGATTCTGAAGGATCTCGGTCCGGTTCCCGGCCTGCAGGAACTCATCGGTACAGCCAACCGATGCTCTGCTGTTGCCATCCGGTCTGAGCCGGTCAGAGTCTGACTGTTTTCTGTCCTTCAGGTGAGTCCGCGGCTGATCCAGGATCAGACTCTCAGAGTAGCAAGATGGAGGTCTCTCTGACCCTGACCAACAAGTTTGACATCTTCGACGACGCCAACAACACACCGGACGCCAGAGGACTTCTGCTCAGGTAACCCCGCCTCTAAGCCATTAGCCTCACCTGCTCAGTGTCTGTCAGTTTGTTTACCTGAACATTAAAGAAGAACCCGGTGTTCACAGAAAACATTTGTTTTGTTTTTCCCAGCACCAAGCAGCTGATCATCGATGTCATCAGGACGCAGTCAGGTGACTCTCTGCGTGACATCCTGAGGACGACACCGTCACGCGACCAGGTAAAACTCGCACTAATAGGTTGGTTGGTGACTGGCACCCGCTGCAGTCTTGATGTCTAGAGATGGCACGATACCACTTTTTCATGACCGATATCATAAATTTTGATATCTGTCGATACCGATATGAATCCGATAGAGTGTATTTTATAATCAATAAAACGTTTTTTTATTATCATATCATACCGTTCACGGTGATACCGGTGTAATGTTGGGCAACGATAAGAAAATGAAACATGGCGATAGAATATGGGTAAAACGCGCATGGGCTGTGCCTTTGTTTACATGCGCACATGGCGGCGACGCAGAACGAGAAGAGCGAGAGCGGATCGTTGAATGAAACCATGAACCTGAACTGGTTTGTAAAAATGCTGCAGCTTCACTGGTGTGGAACTGGTTTAGCTTTCGTCCGTCAGATACACAACAAAGCACTATTTTTGGAAGCGCATGCTAGCGGGCCGTCGTTATTACCGTGTTGTTTGGAAAATACGGCGCACTTAAAATCATCCTTTGATTTTCTGAAAGTCGACAGAGCCCCTTATAATCCCGTGTGCCTTATGTATGAACTCTGGTTGTGTTTACTGACCTCGAAACGATTTTATGTGCACGGCGCTCGAAAATCTGTCAAATGAGCTACGAAGCCGCACCACTTGATGGATTGTCGGAGCATTACGGCTGTCGTAGGCGGAGCCTCGCGGAGTGATACGCACTGTGCTTCAGCATAATGTTACCGTACTGTGTGTGTATAACCTCTTTTTAAGTGTTGTGGATGTTATACATGGTTATGCTGAGGATATGTCGGCCAGTTTCCACTGGAAATGCCTTTTGGTTAAACTGTCAGTTTGCACTGTTAAATGTTTATATAACTTAAATGCAGATAAAAAACAGCTGCTTGTTTAAGTGAAAATACATTGACGTTTTTTTTTTTGTTTTTGTTTTTTGCACTAATAAAGTTGTGGAGTTGTAAAGTATTTTGTCTTGCATCAATTATATCGTTATCGCAAATTTTCAAATGTATATCGTGATAAATATTTTTGGTCATATCGCTCTGCACTAGAACCACCCCCCACCCTCCACCTCATGATGCTTAAACAACGAAATCAACCTAAATTTAATGCACGTGTTAAAAACATAAAATAAAATAAAAAATGCACAGAAATAAATTATTTTTCAAGAATAATTAAATAGATTCAACATCTTTCTTCAACAGAACTGCAGACTGCACAGATGGTACCTTCCCAAAGGGGAAAAAGTACTATAGCTTACTAGAGTATATTAGACTTACTATAGTTACTATATACAGTAATGGACTTCTATATATTTTACATCAGATTAAAACGTTGGGTGTAAGATTCAGATAATTATTTATTAAAAGCTAGACATGACAATAAGAAAGAAAAGTATGTCTCTGTGCCCCCTTTTCCCTGTTCATGCCCTATCGGCCCCCCTGGCTAAACTTTGCTAGATCCGCCCCTGCACAGTTACCAGCTGTCAGCTATAGAAAAAGATCCTCGAGTAGAAAGTAATATTAAATAAATTCTAACAGCAGCTGATCAAGCTTAAACGTGCTGCTGTTGTTCAGCCGCTGGTTTCCTCTTTCAACCAGACCGCTGAAAGGTCTCGCACGCCACAGCGCTATATCATGTGACGCACACTGCTCTGACGTGCTACGGTTATGAGCCAAGTTACGCCATGTCGCAAGTTTTGTGAGGTGCTTTTGTGATATTTAATGGATCGAATTTCATTTTTTATTTCTCTCTGATATCCGATCCAGTAATTTAGGTCCGTATCGGACCGACACGGATACGTAATATCGGATCGGCCCATCTCTAATGATGTCATCTGATCTCTTCAAACAGGAAGTGTGTCACGATTGGCTGATGCAGCGCCGCGCCCAGCAGGATGCTCGGACTCCTGAGAAGATGAAGCGGAACCAGTCGCTGGTCGCCAATGGCAACCTGAGCCTGGAGGAGAAGAAGAGGAAGATCCTGAGGAGTCTTCGTCGTCTGGAGGGACTCGGCACCCTGAAACCGCCAGACATCGAGAACCAGATCCTGCAGATGATCGCCAAGGTAACGAGGCCTGCCTCCATCTCCTCCTATTCCAGCGTCCTCCTTCGCTACATCCTGGCATGTTTCTGGTTTTGTTTGCGTTTTTTTTTTTTGTTCTTTTTGCCTGCATGTTTTTGAAAACGTCCCTGACTATGATGTCACTGCACGTTTCCCCACCAGGACATCCGTCAGCAACGTCTCCACCGCCAGCGCCGAGGGGCGGAGCTCCTGAAGCTCCATCAGACTCTCAGCAGCCTACAGGCTAAGAGCAGCTTCCACAGTGAGCAGGTGGACTATTACAGGCATTACATCACTTCCTGTCTGGACAACCTCACCGCCAGGTATGCACGAGCAGGTGTTTTTGGGTAACGACCTAGCATTTCTCATCTCAGGCCATTAGCATCAGATATAACTTTCTGTTCTCGGACGTGGCGGCGCCAAATGTTTAGAAGTACCGCAGCAATGAACAGTAATGGGGCGGGGCTGTGGTGACATCACGCCACTGTGGTGTGAACCAGGCGTTTTCACCTCGAGAGCTGTGAGGTCTGTTTTGGGGCGGGACGAACAAACGTTTGTCACACAATCAACAACACAAGGGATAAACTAAAGTACAACAAACAAAGTAATTCGGGAACAGGTGAGCCGAGGTTGACCACGAGCCCCGGGTACAGGAAGCTCTATCAGAGGCGCCAGAATACGAGAGCTTTAAACCGTGCGTTCAAAATCTGAGTGAGGAGAAGCTCGCTGAGGTACGAGCTGAATGTTTGCATGAAAAGTTCAAACATCACCAAGAGCGTTGGCGTCACGAGCTGAGCCGGCATCCACGCTGACCTGCCATCAGCTGATCTTAAATATCCACCAACGGCTCTTGAAACAGGAAAGAGGTGCTTAGACCGCGTGTGTCCTGAAGGTGCACGTCACGAGGCTGTCAGTGAGGCGATAGGCCTGTCAGTAAGGTCCATCACTGATTGGCTTGTTCTTGCAGCAAATCGACCAATCAGAAGGCAGCAGACGGCAAAGGGAGGAACAAGCTTCCTGCTCTGAGCTACAGCGCCACCCGGCTGCATGAGAAGGGCGTTCTGCTGGCGATCGAAGACCTGCCAGTCACGCAGTGAGCGCAGAACACACAGCCGGCACACGTATGACACGCGGTGAGGACGCGTGCTCACGATCTCTCTGTTTCCAGGTTTAAGAACGTCATGTTTGAGATTGCTGCCGGGCCTGAGAGAGGAAGTTTCAAAGTAAAAGCTCGATTCCTCGGCGTGGAGATGGAGGAGTTCCTGCTTAAATACCAGGTAGGACCGAGGCCGGACCACGTCGAACCGGGCCACATAAACCAGGTGATACGAGTTTAACGTGTGTGTGTGTGTGTGTGTGTGTGTGTGTGTGTGTGTGTGTGTGTATTTTTGTGTGTGTGTGTGTTAGGACCTGCTGCAGCTGCAGTATGAGGGCGTGGCTGTGATGAAGATGTTCAGTAAGGCCAAAGTCAATGTGAACCTCCTCATCTTCCTCCTCAACAAGAAGTTCTTCAAGAAGTGAGAGGAGCGGCACTCATACTCGGCTTCTGCGGCAAGGCCTCGTCCCACACTCCTGTCTATAAACAGGAAACTGAACGGCGTTTTATACCAAATGATCAGGATGAATCTCACTAAATTTGACTGACTTTATATCTCGCTCAGTGGGATGTCTTCATACACTCCTGTCTGTGCTGTAATCACTGAGTTAGTGCTCTGTCTGCAGCGCTGTCTTTGTTTTTATGTCTGTAAAATTTAACTAAAGTGATTCTTTTTTATTTCACGTGATATTTTTTATGCATGTTTATATGATACTAATCAAACAGAGGGAGTCGTCTGTCTCCCTCTCTAACACTTTAATGGGACATCCTCTCGCTACACCTGTTTTAATATCTCACTACAGTATTTGGATGTGGTGCAGAGTGAGGCATCTTACCTCAGTGTCTCTCTTTGTATGGGAACGTGTTTCAGTTTAATTTGGAGGAGTGACACATCAGTGTTTTTATCCTATCTTGGTTTGTTTCTCAGGATTCAAACCACACTAAGCTGTCTTACTTTTGAAAGGTTTGACCCTTTCAGGATTCCGTAGTGGCGCATTGGTCACTGATGTCTGGTTGTAATGTTTAGCTGCACTGAGCTGTGACCAATCAATACCAGCTGATCAATGCCTGTAAATATTTCCTGTCATTTCCTTTTTCTTTTGTCTTTGCTACAATAAATAAACATGAACATTTCAGTCATTATTTCTATTTTTAATTTAAAAGTTAAAAGACTAAGAGTGCGAGTGGGTGTAAAAACTGATGATGGCCACGAACAAGCCGAATGTTGCTTCTTTTTTTTTTTTTCTTTTTTTTCCCTGAGCTGTGATACACTTTGGATTCTAGCCAATCATTTTACGTTTCCGAGGATAGTAGGCGGGGCCAGGTACGTACGTTCTTTTAGA